GACCCCCCAGGGTGAAGGGCCGGGGGGGCGCGAGGGGCTTTCGATGGTATATGGCACGCTGGACATAAGTGTAGCACTGCTGTAAGGCTTGAATGATAACAAGCCTCCAGTCACTAGGTGGCAGCAACTCATGAAGTGGTTTGTACAGATAAAAATATACATGTCATCGGGGGGGGGCATGAAAACATTTATATCCCCAGGGGGGGGTCATGACCGAAAGTAATTGAGAACCGCTGCCTTATGAAGAGATGGTGGTGGGGCGGAGGGGCGAGGTCACTATGAATCAAAGAGGGTCATGCCCCCCCTGTCCCAAGTGCCATCTGGGCCATGCTTTATAGTAGTTTATAAAGCTGATCCCCACTGGTATACTGTGGCATGAGAGATCATTTAGGTGCAATGATAATTTCACTTATTCTGTTTGAATATGAACTATTATTAATTACAGCAAATAATTGGTCTTATTATGATTTATTATTATCAACACAACAGTGAAAAGCAGAATAATTTACTCCTGCGAGTATATCCGGGTTGTGTTCAAATAAACAAGACAGGGTTTAGTACTGAGTAGATACATTTTGAGTAAACTAAAACTTGGAGATAATTGTGTTACTGGGATTTTTATTCTTATGTAAAAATATGGCTAGAAATGTTTAGTCTCTTCAGGGGGTATCTGTCCATGTTGTTGAGGGCCACTGCACGAGCAGAAGTCGTGTTTTTTAGTATTTTATGGCAGCCCCAGGATATTTGCTTTCATTACTGCAATGTCCCAGAGTATATTCAAACAGCATAACAAAATTCTGCACATTCTTCATTTGTGTATCTCGATGTATATTTCTGCAAATGTACAAAAAGATAGGTTAAAGGATTAAAAATATATAAAAATATATAAAATGAACACTGCTGACAGGGGTCTTGGACGCTGAGTCTATTTGTGGAATCATTTTCGTAATTATTGCATAAGTAGGCTTATAGTAAATGACAGAATCGCAATGAAACGGTGCCTTTACTGCAAACAGTGACGGAAGCTTGCCTCCTTCTAAACCAGACGTCGGCCAATTTGGTAATTTTTAAAATGTAATTCTAAATGTGAAGATTATGGTACTGTTGTAAAAAAAATGTTTACTTGATTTATGTACTTATTTACATATTTTAGTTTTATTTGCCTGTTTTATTTCTTTTTTTGTCTCTCAAAAAGCGGCTGACAGGTGACGTTTGTCGGTGTGCCATTTATCAAATTTTTCAACCCCATGGAACGCCAGACGCGACACATATGTATAGCACTAGTGAGGACAAAACATAATGAGATACCGATAAAAGAGTGTATATTTAAATAGTCTTTAATTGTGCACATCGGCAACAAAAATATCCTATTATGCTTGAATGCACCACTTGGTTCACGTAATCCCACTCGGATGCAGGAAGGTCTAGCCACAACAGCCAATCAGGAGCTACGCAGTTCACGCTCAGCCTATCAGTGAGGAGGTGAGGTGCAGACGCGCTGTTTCTTCGGTGTTTCCAGTATAAACAGCGGGAAGGAAATTAGCTTTCGAAATGGACGTAGAGGGGAGAAAATGGCGAGTAAACTCTGAAAGATAGACCAGTACACTTGCTGTGAGTCCTGAGCGTAATGACTGAATTAAGGGGACGAGTTATGTCGGTAAGACGGGTTTTTTTTATTGGAAAAAGAACGGCTGTAACACATCGTCCATGCTAATGCTAATTCGGTGTTTCACGGGCTAATCACGTACTCTGTTTTGTGAGCCGCTACAAACTCTTAACATTAAGTGCTCAGCTTGAAACACGAAACCACAGTGAGAAAGGAGTGCCTCTTTTAGCTGCTCTGATGCTATGAATTCCAAAGTTATATTATAATTGTAGTTATAGTTTATCTTGTAAGTGCTAACTAAAGAAGGACCTTAATTTATTTTAATGTGAGTTTGAAATAACTAGGATAATCTTTGGTGTAATTTCTCCTCACACTAGTAGGTCTTTAGCACATTAGGATAATCTTTGGTGTCATTTCTCCTCACACTAGTAGGTCTTTAGTGAAGTACTATTCTTTGATACCTCTCAAAACAACTCACTGCGTGCATTTCTTGGTACCTATCCCATCATTCATTCATTCATTATTGGCTCATTCATTCATCCGTTCGTCATTCCTCACTTATATTTTACGTTACTATCTTGATTTTGTTGTGAATGTGATCAATTTTGAATGTAAGTATTACTTAGATACTGTTTACCTGGACAGGGAAAATGTGAGTTCTTTAATGTTTACTTCTCATATTGGAACTTTTGGCTTTCTTAAATGTTCAATGTTGTACAACTTAAACTTAAGAAGACTGAGATTTGAGATAAAGATTTAGGATATGTGAATCAAGGTTGATGCGATGTGAGTTTTGACATTTAAACCTTTACAAATGCATCTGAATGTAGAATGTAATAGATGTGACCTTGTCTATAGGTCAGGTATTTGAGAGGACGGGAAAGGACCAGGACGAGATCCCAATCGTATTTGATGAACCCTGAAGGAAAAGACACAGGCAAGGAGATACAGGTACAGTGGAACCTCGGTTTTTGAACTTAATTCGTTCCTGAAGGCTGTTTCCTCATAGGAATCAATGTAAAATTGATTAATCTGTTCCTGGACCCTGGATGACTGCTTATTCAAACTAGAAGTAGTGTCCAAAAAAAAAAAAAAAAAGATAGTACTGTAATGGCAGTGATCCTTCTACTTAGTCATTACAACAGTAAAATGATTTGTTATGGAAAAGCCATTCAATTAAATACAATTAAATACTAGTTCTAGATACGGCTTCACTGTAGAAAATAAGAAGGCCTAAGTTATGCACAGTCATCTCGTCTGCCCTGATGATTTAGTTAAAATGATACGTGTCTGAAGTCAAGAAACTATAAATTAATGACTAGTTTCCCAGACACAGCCTAGCAGGAGTTTTTCGTGTTACTAGTGAACCTTCGTACACTGTTCCAGAGCTGGTGGGTCAGTGTCTGTGGGGATCTTGTAAATTCACTGAGGTACAAACAAATGCAAGGGAAACTCTTGCACATGTGCTGTTCTCATTCAGCTCCCACAAAGCCATAAACAAACCAGGAAAATGGGGGGGGGGGGGGGAACAGCTTCTAATGCTCGGATTGGGATTACTGTTTGGTTCAACGTATTTTTAAGAGCCATTGTAAAATGTTCTCCCCGTGCTGACTGTGGAACTTGTCACAACTGAGTCATTTCACCTCCTCGCTGCGCAACACACAAGGCGCCGTCTAATTTTATACAGAACTCATGGTTCCAAGCAGAACACTGGTTTGTGGGTATCTCCTCATTAGTTCATGTTTTGGATACTGTAGGCATGTGGGAATTAATGCGAGTGTTGGGAGTACAATGAATCTCGTCTTGTTTTACAAGGTTTTCTGTGTCTGTCTCAGTTAAACAAAATTATCTGCCAATTGTGTTTAGTATGAAATATGTCAAATAACCTGGTCTATATTGTAATATATTCATCTTAATATATTTTGGAACACAACCTGCCTCCACCATCTTCTGCAGCCTTACTGCTTGTCCTGACAGCAGCCTCGGGCGTCACTCATGGGCAACAACTTGTAGCTCGCTAACATTCTTATGTCTGCATGTTACAACTACCATCTATAAGGATTTCTGTAGACGTTTTTAATTAGGCCGTTGGGCAGTTTTAAGAATTTTCACACACAAACTTCAAACAAACAATGTTTTATGGAGGATTTCCTGTTAGCTAATAAATGAGTCGTACAGCCGCCAGGTCTGAGTTACTGGAGCAGTGGTCGCAGCAAGAAAGCCTAGCAAATGTTTTACGTCTACCCTGAAGTAGTCCTCCCTGACGCATGTTAGGAACACCTCCTCAAAATGCCTGTAGACACTCAACTGGCTCCTCCTCACGTGAAGGAGCACGGCTGAATTTTGAGCAGCTGTAAGATGTCTTGGCTCCTCATTCGGTCTCTGGCTGAGGCCAGCCTTACACTGGAGTAAGCTCATTTATCTGCTTGTATTCACAGTCTCACTCTGGTTTACTATGTAAACTGAAACCGCTATTTTCCACTGACTCCAAATTAGGTTAAAGCCTTACATGGATTTTGGCCAATTGTCGGCTCGTAAAACTGTTATAAGTATTTTGTTGTTGTTGTTTTTACCACATCCATGTTGTGTGGCTCGTGCTTTAAAACTTTCAGCTTGTGAACTATGCTATGAACAGCATTTCACCTAAAAATCCAACACCTCCGTTACATTTCTGCAAACCTTGGTTTTGTTTACAGTCTTAAAATAAAATTGGAATTTTATCACGCGTCTATGAACTGTTACGTTTCGTTCTGAAATGTTGCATTTTCAGAATCTCCTAGAATTCGCAGTACAGTGTCTCCAAGGCATCATAACATTTTGAACACAACAAAAGTACCTTTGTGTATAGTATACTTTTTCCTATTCATTATGTGGTATTTCACTTTATTGTTACTGTTTTAAAAGAATTTATTACGTACAATTGTTTATCCCAATGACAAATAAGAAGTGTTTTCAATATAGACAACAATCTCTGTGACAATTTTCTGTTCTATTCTGACCAGGAACTGAGTCAAGTGTGTTTATGCAGTAAAATATGCATCACGCGTTGATGAGATCTTGCTCTTTTACCGTGCGTGCGTGCGTGTTTTATGTATTGTCTGAAGTTGTGGTTTCCTGGTGTCAGACAGAGATATGGCACTGGCAGCAGGGTGTGGTAAAATAGTACATCCCCCTATTTATGTGGTTCAACTTGATATCAGACCAAATCTAAACAAATTAGCCAGAATGATGAAAGGAGTTAAATCTTTACCTCAGCGCAGGACAGCCGTGGACTGACGTGCCGTGTCATTCCAGATCATCTCCTCTGACATTCTAACGTCTGCTGCTGCTGCTGCTACTTGGAGGTTACTGACAAATAGACAGACGGACTGGAGCGTGTCTGCTGCATTCCTCAGCGCAGCAGCATTATCTGTGATGGTTGTGGAGAAGAAAAACACTGCAGCAGCAACCCCAGCAGGACTGTCTCTTTTTACATGCTCGTCCCAATCCAGTCTCCCCGTGACTCCTTTGTCAATCAGAGTCCACTAGCCACTCACTTGTGGGAACTTGCCTCCGATCCTGTTGCAGTTAGAACGCTCAGAACAGCTCTGCCACTGCGGGTGAACAGCACCCAAGGCTGTGGGGGATATATGCTGTCCAAGTAAATGGCAAGACAGCGGGGTGAATGGAGGTGGTCATTTGTCTGTCTCATCACGAGGACAAGAAGAGTCCAGCAGCAGCCGCTCTGCACTGCGCTCTCCCAGCGCTGTAGCCGCTTCACGGAGACCCTCAGAGAGTCAAACGAGCAGTAGTCAACACCTCCGCTTTTTTTTTTTTTTCAAAATAAAAGTATCCACCCCGCCAAAGATGTAACGATACGGTGTTTCCACAGCCACGGCCACAGAGTCTGCAGTAATACAGTGGGCACGCATCTAACAATTACTACAAGTGCATTCACTTCAGTAAAAGTTTATATTCAGCACTTACGTAACCGATTCACTAAGTCTTAACGCAGCCTAATAGCCAAAGGATGGCTATTTGTCGCCACCTTGTGGACAACAAGGCGTATCAGGGTTTTTTTTTTTTAAATAAAAAAGACGAGGTGCGTTGGATTTAAATTGTTGTATTGTGGTGTGTGACTTTAGTAAAGTTATATAGACAGTTACTTGTTCTCATTTGCTTACAAGGGATTTAACTCTTTCTTAAAGAATATTATCGTGACTTTCTTATCCCAATGTGTAGATTTTCATAAAATATTTTAAAATTTTGTATTGTCCATCCCATAATGATGTGTAAAAGTATCCCACGTCATGTAAGGTTAAGTAGAGCATTTGAGCTTAGGTATTGGATCAATCTGGAAACCAATATTGGATTGGACCTATCCTGAGTATAGTATCTAAGCATCAAAATATCAGGTTGTTAGGACAGTAATCAGAGACATGTAAACCACATTTAGTTTTATTCATACAATTTAATAAAATGTATCACTTTGTGTCCCTACGATCAAACATCAAAAAGAAAGAAAAAAATCACTCCCAGTACAGGGATGAAATGTTCAGTTGTCTCTCAGCAAGTTATAGGCTCTGGTATACTGGCTATCAGGTGTTCCTGTTGTGAAGAAAAGTCTGCAGACTGCCACTGACAATCGATGAGGGCGTCGTACAGCTCCTCGCTATGCTCCATGTACTTCCTATTGGCCTCTAGCACGTCCAGCTGTGGGTTTGGATCTGTGACACATAGTTCATGGTTATAAAGTGACTTGAAGTGAAGAATAATAATTACAATAATAATAATGAATTAACTGACGTTACTTGTTCAGACATTAGTGGTAAAACTAACTTCTACTATGACATAAGCCCATAGCTAGCTGCTAATGTAGCACGACATGACTTAAAACATCCTCTTGTTAGCCTCTTTTGAATGGGGCATGTTCAGCTGGACGATGGTGTTTTAAGTGTTGGATTAGGTTTGTTATTCAGAAAGACTTGGTGGATTTGGTGGTAGCTCCCACATGTAATATAACAAAGAATGAGCCTAGAGCTTTCTTGGTTCACTATTACATTTTGTACTACCAAGCTAATGATGTGTTAGCCCCAGCTTGTGAGTGTGTCATGTTTTTCTTTGACATTGAATGCAAGACCGGAAAATGTGTGCCACGGACCAATCGCTGGTCAGGGTTGGTTAGCCTAACTCTATGCAGATTCACCCTGTAGTATGTTGTGATCAACCATCATTATACCAAACAGTAAAATTACTAAAATACCAACCTTCAAGTCCATCATCCTCCTCAACAGCTTCTGTTTCCTGAAGGAGAAAAAAAAATGTTTTAGAACTAATTACATCAGTAAACATTGATAAATCCACTAGTGTGTCATAGAGACAGCTCACCTGTGTTGCAGGATACTGCGTGTAATCGTACTGTTGGTAGTACCCGGATGCAGACTGATCATAGCCCCAGGGATTGTAATATCCACTGTATGGTTGCTGCTGATACTGGCCATACTGGTTGTATTGGCTGTACTGGTCGTAGCTAGTGCTATAATTTGAGCTAGACTGCCATGTTTTGTCTGACTGTTGTTGATGCTGTGGTGGCCGGTTCCTTAAACTCCCCAAGAAACAAAAGAAAGCACGTCAATAAGGGTTCGAAGGCTGAAAATGAACGTGTTTTTGTGACAAAAGTTAAAAAGAAAAAGTTCTCACTTGTTAGCAGCAAGACTTAGTCTCAAAGGTTTGCCACCGAGTCCCACCGCTCCCTGACATTCGTCCAGCGCTCGCTTCTGCAGCCTCTCATCGGGAAACTGAACGAATCCACAGCCTCTGCAGAGAATCACAGAAAAGAGTTAATAGAGAGCTCCTCTAAAGTAACTAGTACATTAGTGAATTTTAAGAACACATAATTTGATGGTGTTTCTGTAAACAGTGAATACAGTTTTTGGTAGTTGGAATGCACAGGGGAGACTTAAGGCCAAAGCTAACATTAGCTTCGGAGGCTAACTCCCTTCACTTTGTGCTTGTCCGCAGCAGAGGTGAATAGAAACAGGGAAGTTGGGGCCTTTAATATCAGCCACACTGAACACCACAATACATAAACAGTGCTTTAACAGCTCCTGTATAACCAACTAGCTACCGTTACGGACATACGCTACTAGTATAACACACAGTAGCCTACCAGAAAAGTCATTGATCACCAGTGGTATGAGCTGCGTTAGCCCGTAAATATTCATAAATTAGCCGCATCATTGTTTAAGCTGCAGGGTTAAAATAAAAAAGTAGCAGCTTATAGTCCGTAAATTACGGTATTTGATCACATTCTGTTCCTATCCGAGTCTCGGTTGCAAGTTCATCAATTTACAGTTGTGTGGAATTATTTCGTGACAATATTGCCAACAATTTAGCCTATTATGATCAGGTTCATTTTCATAACACGTGCTGACATGTTTCTACTTACTTTGAATTACCCATGCTGTCCAGCACCACTTTTCCTCCACGACAAGTGGGGTAGCGGTTGTAGAAGAACTCATAAAGCATCCCATCATCCACCTCTGGAGTTAGATCTCCCACAAACAGCGAATAAAGTTGACTGTAACAACAAATGAAATGAATTATTTTTGCGATAAACCAGAATTATTGTAGGCTTCTCTAAAAATCTATTTAAATATTTTTTAAATTAAAATACAAGTTCACATTTATTCATTATATTATTCAGTAACATCACAAACAATTATAATGTACGAAGTTAATAAGACTTAGTTAATTATTTAAAAAAATATTTAAAAAATTAAAAAATAAGCTTACCTAAAATAGCTTTTAAAAAAAATCAATATTGCTGAACTGTTGGATTTCTATCAAACATATAAAACATCAAGTAGTTCAATTGCAATTTTTCCATAGCGCATGGGTAAACCCAGACTCATCTTCTCTAAAATTGCCAATAAATTGATATCTCTATATAAGTTGAAAGTTATAATTTTTGTAATCTCCCAAAATCCTACATGAAACTCTTGACATTTTTTTTTTTCAGAACTATGGGCACTTGTTTTCTTATAATCAATAACATCTGGCTTAAGCAAAACTACTAGCTAAGCTTAAGTAATGGAAGATCAATATAAAGAAAGAACCCATATTAAAAATATATATATAAAAACATTTCAGAACATTTTAAATGAGATATTAATATGCTTTTATGTTAAGTCGTATAACTACATTCAAAAAATTTGAATATCAAGTTTACACATATTGTTTACAACAGTCAAAGAAAGTCAAATTGACCTGCTTTACTTCATGGGCTTACCTTGTGTCTTGTTTCCCAAAGTTGGCTCGGTTTAGTTTGAATCTTGTGGGCTAGGATACAAAAATAAAACAAGTTTTTTAAGGAAGTGGTATACAGTGATCCCTCTCCTATCGCGGTAGTTGCGTGCCAAGCCCCAGCGTGAAATGCTTAAAACCATTTACGATCCTCACCCACACTATCAACAATCGAACAACAGTGCCCTCCTGTGCCCAACTTAGGTCATTACCCTACATTAATTAAATGCTCATCAGACATACTGTACATACACGTCACGCATGATTTCCCACCCCAAATCTCATTTACATTGCATTACCATGTACTGTATGTATGTGTTGCAAAAATATTTTTTCGTTTATTTATATACTATATACTGTTTTTTTAGGCTAGAGTCACAAAAATAATGAAAATATTGGAAAATTTAAAAAATGTATTTAACGTAAAATATCATGATATAGCAAAAATGTTGCCAGATCGGATTTTAAAAAATCTAGGATGTTCTGAGGGAGCTAAAGGAGAACCACGACATAAAGAGGGAACACTATATACAAACATGCATAGTAAAAATAAACTATAAGTTTACAAAAGTAAACAAAAAAATGCTCTCCTTACTGGACTGGCTCCAGGTAAAGGTTTCCCATTGATTTTTCGTAGACACCTCTCAGCTGTGGCCTCATCCGCCATCTCAACGAAGCAGTAACCCAGGGCACCACTAGACGACAACATACTTAATAAGAGAATAAAATAACTGTAAAATTAACAGCGGCTGGTTTTTGTGGTTCTCACCCAGTCATTTTGTTTCTGAGGATCCGCACGCTAACCACTTGTTCGCCCATGGTCGAGAAAGCTCGGATGATGAACTTCTCATCCATGTAGCTCTCCAGCTGCGGAGCAACAGATTTAGAATTTCGTTTTAAAAAAGTAAAGAGAAAATCAAGTCAAACACTGTTACAGATATTGTTCAGGTGTGCTTTATGTGTAAATCTGTACAAATACAGAACGTATTTACAATATAATCTAACACATAACACATATGCTAAGATATGGCTCTGTTCACTGATAAAAACTTTCTCTGTTTCTGTGATCGCTGATCATAATATAATCTGCCTGGTAAAACCTAAATGACCAAAGATTACTGCAAAAATAAAATTAATATTGAAGCAGCATTTCTAAAAAAATAAACGAATCGATGGGCATAGTTAACAGGTTTTTGAATGAATGTTAACCATGAATGAATTTTTCTACTCATAAAATGAGTTATAGCTAGATCTTCACCTGTCCTGCGTAAGACGTATGAATGTATTTATTTATTTATTTACTATTATTAAATCATAATACAAAAGAAGCTGGCGCTTTGGCCCAGAGGCAATGTCTCTGTCATTGGTGTGGAACCCCAGGGTTCACCTCCTGGGCAAGTTCGAATCCCGGTTAGGGCGGTTGGGACCTTCCAGTGGACTCACCACCCGCAGGAAGGTTTGGTACGGTGCAATGTGATTTGGGTGGTGACTGCTGCCCCCGCGACCCGGTAACGGATAAGCGGATGAAAATGGATGGATGGACAAAAGAAGCTAACTCAGTCGGGCTGTTCTTTAATTTTAAAACTATGAAGTTAATCATTTTACCTTTCTTATAAGTTAGACATTCAACAATAAGATAATATTGTTAAATATTCCCCTTCTGTGGATTATAAACCGACATGGGGGTCTTTACACGGTAGTATTTCATGCTAAAACGACTGAGCATGAATTAATATATTAAGTGCGTCACAGGCTTTCTAGAAAACAAATACAAGTGAGGGTAGGGTGAAATACCTGTTTAAATTGTACGTAAAAACGTGGTATATAGTCTATCCTCGCTACGTCGAACAACCAAAGGTAAGAGTAATTATCAATAAACGGTGTTAAGATCTAAACTTGTATTTGTATTATTGTTACATTCAATGGTTTCCTGTTTAGCTGCACTCAATGCTAGTTGGAAGCTAGCTAACAAAGCGGCCACACACACAGTAAAGTTTCACCAAAACTACTTACGTTTCCCATCCATAATGTACTCATGGTGTTGGGTAAAACTTGGTCGTTGTGACGCAATGATGTGCAATAATAAACTGTAGTTTCAGCAAAAAACAACTTTATCACAACGCGTGAAAGAACTGCTATAGCCAAGACACGACACAACGCTCACTGTACTTCTTCTATAAAAATGCTAATAGGATCGATTTACACACTATCGCCACCTAGAGACAGTTTACAAGAATATCACTATTGAAGGTGTCGGGAGAACGACGTCACGCAGTTGAATTGGAAATTTTAATGGCGTTGACGTTTTTTAGTAACGACTAAATGTTTTTAATTCAGCGTTTCTGATTAAGAGTCTTGATTTATTTAAAATAATTAACAAAATAATTGTAATACACATACAGGACATACGTCATTCGTATTTACTACATTCTGCCCACACTCCGGTTCTGTTGGTGGCGGTAAAGCAACAGACGCGACGGTTTGCGAACTTCCAATAAAGAAAGGGGGAAGGAAAGAAGAAAGAAATGACGACGGAGGAAGGGGGGGAGGGGGGAGGAGAACTGGTCCATCAAGGAAAATCTCCAGAGGACCGTGGAGACGACTCTTCCCTTCTCAGCAAGGATGGGTCGTGGCTCACCCCTTAGTGCAGAACTTCGCGAGAGGATTGTCTGTCAGTTAAAAAACAACGTGTCTCAGCGGAGGATAGCGAAGAACCTAGGCCTGTCGCCGTCCACGGTCAATAAAATTGTGAAAAGATTTAAGGAGACAGGCGAAATCTCCGTGCGTAAGGGCCAAGGGAGGAAACCGTTGCTGAATGTGCGTGAGTTACGAGCCCTTTGGCGGTACTGTATAAGAAACCGTCACTCCACCGTGATGGACATAACGACGTGGGCTCGGGACTACTTTAAAAAAACGCTGTCGGTTAACACGGTCCGTCGCTGCATCAAAAAATTCTCTCTGAGACTGTATCAGGCGAAGAAGAAGCCGTGCTTCAGTTTTGTGCAAAAACGAGTTTTCCGGGCACGAGCTTATCTTGGACTGACGAAAAGACAATGGAAACGTGATCTTTGGTCGGATGACTCCGCACGTCATCTTATTTTTGGGGGGAAGCGCGGACGTAGGATTCCGCGTGCTACAGTCGAAAACCGCGCTTTCGGTCCTTTTTTAATGAAAGGTGCAAAGGCCCGTATCAATTATGCCCTGGGGGCGCATCAGTTGCCCTGGCATGGACCTGCGTATGTGTGAACCCGTGTATTGGAATTTTAAAGACCACTTCCCACTATAGAATTCTGCGTTTTGTTAGCAGGGACCACGGCACGGCTTCATTTCACACAGAACTAGACAACAGAGACCGCGAGGCATCTAGACATACTATATGTATATATATATAAATATATATATATATGTGTGTGTGTGTGTATTCTTTTTCTCAAACTGTTAAAGCACGTTGAGCTACATGATTGTATGAAATGTGCTATCCAAATAAAGTTAATATTATTATATATATATTATGGCATGCCACTCAGGAAGTTAATCCTTATTATATATATATAATGAAAGTCTAATTATATAGAAAGTTTGAATATATATACAGAAAGTCTGAATATATATATACAGAAAGTCTGAATATATATACTGTTTGAAGCCTTTTTAACCACAGTGCCCCAATCAGGGGCAAAAACAAACAAACAAACAAACAAACAAAAAAAACAGCAAAGCGACACAAGCAGCATATGAACGTCTTTCTTTATTCACCCTTTTTTGCTTCTTCAACTTTTTTTTTTTTTTACAGATCACGCTTCACACGCTTCCAGAACCCAGTACACTGCGTCATATCACAGCTTTCAGATAAAATATCTTCAAATAAAAGTTAACATAAGTCTTTATTTATAAATGTATAAACAGATTTATTTATAAATCTTTATTTATAAAGCTGTCATGTGACGTGGTGTACTGTGTTCTCTTTAAATAAGCAGATACATCAAACACCTCTTGGTGAAAGCCTTAAATTAGTTTTAAGGAATGGATAAAGAGAGTCCGCTGTTTCTTTTACGCTAATTCTACATTTTTGACATTTAATGTCAATAAACCTTGCTTCTCATTGTAATAATCCAAAGCCGTGTTCCCCTAGAATTCTCTGATTCTGAAATATTTCAAGTACCTCACTGTGAAAAACGTGTTTCTGATGGTTTACATATTAACAAATGAAATGGTGTGATGTTATTATCACTAGATATTTATCACATATTTATAAATATATACGTGTTGTTCACACAGCCAGGTTCTTGGTTGACTAATATAAATATTGGAGGGTGAAGCCTCCTCAGCAGATTCTACAGAAAAACTGTCAGCCTTCAAGTGTCAGATGTTGGTGGACTTTTCAGTATAAGTGAAGTCCAGTCCTCGGTGCTCTCTGAGTTGAGCTGAGTTCAGCAGTGCAGGTCTTTAGTAGCTGTGGACACCTGGTCCGGGCCTGGTGCCTTCCCTGACCAGAGCTGGAATGAGGTGAGGGAGTGGGGGTGGTAGGGTTTGAGAAAAGGGTATAGGAGGGCAGGGATGTAGTGGTTCTTGGAGGGAGTGACGGTGCAGTGGTTCATGGGTGGTAGGTCACTGAGGGGGGGAGTGGAGGAGCCTGCAATTACGCTGTTTGTCTTCTCCACTCCCGCCTC